GTAAGAATTAGGGTTATATATGACTCTTGGGTTAGTCCATGTTGTGTTAATCCAAATCAATTGTTGGATCATAAGTTTAAGTGTAAGAATTAGGGTTATATATGACTCTTGGAATTTTACACTATATACATGTAACCCTAAGCACTAAAATCGGTTACCACTTGCATTCCAAGAAGAAGAAATCTATTTTAAGTCTCTTAAACCTCTTTCATATCTAACTCTAAGACTTCATGACTGCAGGCGGTGCCTGATCTTGGACCCGCTCTCTATCTCATGTTAGACTTCCAATCATGATCTTCATGTCACGATCTCGATCTTTATTGGAGGCTCCTTTTTAACAAACTTGAGATAAGTTTCTTCATTCGATTATCATAATAGACCGATGGTACATGTTCTAATGACCTCTGATCGTATGATTCATTGCTTGGACTCAGGTCTTTTAGAATCAAATTCCAGATTAGATTATACCTTCCTTCATGTTCTAATCACATCTTAAGAGGTAGCATTTCTAACTACAAGCAACTATCATGATACCTCTACCAATCGCTTTGATTATCTTTTATTTGAATCTTCCGGCTTGAGTCAGATGTTACATCAAAATTGGTTCTTTGAACCACGTAACATACTCATCGTAGTCAGACTCAATTTGATATGACCACTAGGGTCGGAATAACAATCATCTTCTTAGTCATTACCGAAACGATGGTAACAACATATTTGAATAAAACAATATCAATTACTAGCTTCTTCGTAACCTTATGACTTTCCCTGATCCAAGTGCGAATCCTGTGCTTCTGGTAGTATAGGCCTCTACTATCATTCACACCTACTCATACTCATCCCAAGTATTGTCTTGCAGTTTTTTCCAAGTCACCATACAAGAAAATCACACAATAGCTTAACACATCAGATAGAAAAATGAAGATTTTATATTATTCCTTGAAACGATTACATAGGTGTTCAATTTCACCCTAAACTATGCCTCTAATAGGCTACACCTCATGATACTAACCGCATGACTACTTTATAACTTGATCTTCGAATATCAATTCTTATTCCTGATTCCTTGCATTGTCATCTACATCGTCAAGGATCATATGAAATTCTCTTGCCCGTGGCTTTGGCGATACATTTGGCTTTGTGGCATCATCCTTCCTTGGGCAGTCTTGCTTGAAGTGTCCTTCCTAACAATACTTAAAGAAGACTTCTCTCTTGGTGGTGCATTCGTTGGCATAATGACCAATCTTCCTGCATTTGAAGTAGGTAATTTCTTTAGAACATCTCCCAATGTGCTTCCTTCTGCACTTGTCATGCCATTGTGCTCCTTCCCTAGACTTTGAGAATTTTCTCTTATTGTCGGACCTTGTGGATCCTTTAAACTTTCTCTTATCGCCAACTTCAAACTTGCTGGCGGATCTTCCCTTGATCATATCTTCAACAAACTTGGAAGCCTAGATAACTGTCTCTAGAGTAGGTGCCTGACATACCAGCACCACATACTCCAAGGGAAGTCCCTTTGCGTACTTGTCGACTTTTGTCAGCTCGTCTGGGACAAGGCGCAAAGCAAACTCCATTTTGTCTGTGAAGTTGTTGGTGTATTCACCAATGGACATGCTTCCTTTCTTCAAAGTTAGGAATTGGTTCTCTAGCTCGAGTAGGTTTTGGGCTGAGCAGTACTTGTGCTTGAATTGCACCAAAAACTCTGCCCAAGTCGGTTGCAGGGGGCTCATTGGGGCTTAGAGTCTTCCCCAGAGTGTTCCACCAGCGAACAACGCCTCCTCTAAACTGTCATACAACAAATGTGGTTTGTAGCTTTCCTTTGCAACCACATGTCATGAAGGCTAATTCCATCCCCGAGATCCAATCCATGACTCCAATCAGATCTTCATTCCTAGTGAAAGTCAATGGCTTGCAAGTTAGAAATCTTTGTACTTTCATCCATTCCTCTCGACTCCATCATCTTGATTGTTCCTCCTAATCACTGGTGGATCAGCTTGACCAACGGTCCTGTTGTCGTTCCCTTCCTCAGACTACCCATCATTCAGCTCGGGCTGTTCAATAGGCACCGTAAGTTCCTCTCGATTTTGTTGAAGCAAAAGTCTAGTTTTCTCTATTTGACGTTCCAACATCATTTTGATCATCTCCTATACTCCGACCATCGTGATGGGCTTAGGAGTGGCTACCACAATAGGATATTATACTCAATCATGGAGGTTGATTCCTGTTTCCGTTCGCGTTCCTGACTCCACTTCTATTTCTTTCCATTTCGATCTATACATCAATTCAGTGTTATGTGTAACGATGAGAATTAAGATAGGAAAGATTTTATTTACGATCGACGTATGACTCTCCTTGTCACTCTAAAAAGTTATATGCTAGTTCTAATACCGTAATTAAACGTTTAGAAACTTGAACACATAAAGTTTCCAGATCCGGTCGACAACAGACCATAGATCCGATCATATAATGCATATCATAAATCATTTAACACATAAAAGCATGTTAGGTATTTTCCCTAAATAAGCTAGTGCTTGTGTCTATTCAGGTGTATTACCTAACTTTTATTAGACACACTCCTCACAATCATTGCTTAACATTCTAAGTTTAAGTCTAAAAATAAATCCATATTCCTAGTTCGCTTAAACTAATGCTCTGATACCAACTGTGACATCCTTATTTTCACGGCCAAAAAAGACCGATTTTGTTTATGCTTTATAAAAATCAGAGTACGTCTTTTAATAAAAATGTTGCGAAATTTGTTCCCAGTAAAACATGATAAATACGTTATCAAAGCATTTCTGAAGAAAAGTATTTTTATTCATTTTAAAACATTTGGGATGTCATCATCAATACAGAAACATAAGCATTCATTATCACTAGTGATTTAAATATCCTTAATCTCTCAGTGTAATGTGACTTTATATCAACACCTGTGATACAAATAAATTGAGTGGGTCAGGTTGGGAAACCTGGTGAGTACATAGGGTTTTCAATCCCACAATGTTATATCATATATATAATTTAGAACTCACAGAATATACAATTTCACCATATATATATATATATATTGTTTATAAGTTCATAATAACGATATTAAACTTAAACATAAGCTATACTTAAAGTAGGGTAAGCCTAATTAACTCACCAGGAGGTTTGGCTAGGAACCGGTCTCTATGGGGGCAGAACTTCCGAGATGAAAAGCTCTTTCTCTCGGAGCTTTCTGGCTCTCCGGGGCTTTCCTTTAGCACTTAGGAGTTACTGGGGCTTTGGAAGGGATTAGAGAGAAGGTCGAGAGAAAGGCGTTTAGTGTGATGAAAATTGGATGCTCTTACATCCTATTTATAGGTTGGAAATGTCCCAAATCATCGAGTTTGAGTCTAACTCGTCAAGTTGGTGTGCCATATGTTAGCATTTGGTGGGAAGGCGTGGGAAGAAAGTAAAGGCCCAGATTCAGCCACGTCACCATCTTTACAACAACACACTCTCGGCTTCTAAATTCTGTAACTTTCACATACGAGCTCTGTTTTCGACGTTCTTTATATCCACACGTAGGTATTGGCAAGATCTACAACTCTCTTTTTGACTACATCGGCTAATTCTCGTTTGATTCTAAATTTAACAGTACGAGAAGATTACACTATTAATGACCATGTAAAATTTATAACTATTACATATGGACTTTGTTTTCAACTGTCTTTTTATCGATAAACTCTTATTAATGAGATCATCAATTCTTATTTAGATTGCATCATCTAAAAATCGCTCGATATAAAATTTGATTTTCGGGCTGTATACTGCTATACAAAATCTTAGAAAAATTATAACTTCCTCATAGGAAGTCAGATTTTGGCGTTAGTTTTATGCACGCTCTCGGTTTAACGTATACTACAGCTTTCATTTATATCTCTAAGGCTAAAAAGTAGTTTATAGATAATTCACTTTTTACGTTACGCAGTGTTGTGCCGATTTAGCCGTAAAACTTCAATGAGTCATAACTTCTTCGTTATAACTCGGATTTCAGCGTTCTTTATATGTACGGAACCCTTGTGACATATATAATATAACTTAGTTAAGATTATTTATTCTAAATAATCTTCTATTAAAAATTTATTTTTGACCCTTATTGTCTCCAAATTAACTAGCCCGAATTTGCGAGTGTTACACATCATAGTCTAGTTGATTTAAATCAAGAATCAAAGGAACAAAGGCTTTGATGTTAGTGATGCTATAGGGTTTAAGGTTTTGGTTGGTAGGGTTAGAGCTTTCAACTCCTATCATTCGAACGAAACAAATGATCGATCGCATAGAAGATGGATCGTGAAGGAGAATAGAAAATCAACATGAGGAGGGGAAGATAGAGTTATAATGACCTCGACTCTGATAGCATTTTAGGGTCTAAAATATTCTCTTTTGCCTTTCATTAAAACGAATACATAATTATATACAAGAGATAATACATATGCGCTTACATACAACAACACTGGTCGAATACTAATAGGGTACAATACATTAATCTATTATAATAAATGAAAATCATTTTGCACCATGTCACTTCCTCAAGACTGTTAGTATAAATTGAACTACTTACATATTCATCATTTTGTTTGTATTTATTTGAAAATTCACGACTTTTAGTATAAATTAAGCTACTTACATATTCATCATTTTGTTTATATTTATTTCAAAATTTTACTTTAAAAAATAATTAATGTTTGCATTTTATACTTGATTTTTTTAATTAATCCGTTTAGTATATGAGTCTTCATACCTACTAATTAACTAGTATACACTAAGAGAGAGTGGCCCTCAACAAGCTTGGGACCAAAGCTAATTTTCTATAACATGGAGAGGACCTAGATAGCACCTTTGTGCCCCTTCTTTCGAGTCTTGAGGAGTCTTTGGACCACATTATTTTCCAGAGCCATATTTCTAAATCTACTCGACGGAAAACTGGTAATTGGTGGGAGCGCGCCTGGGAGGTGGATCTGGTTGATTAGATGTCTAAACCTTCCCTTTATTTTATTGGATAAACACCAACAAACGCCAAACAATATTCTTTCCCTTAAGTAAAATTAATGCGAATCACAAACTTAATAATATGAGCAACGCCACCTTACATATATATATAGTTCGATCATAAAATAATACAAATAACAGTTAACTAATTAAAGGAAGGGGAAATAATTGGCATGCAGCAGGGATGGTTAATACGTACAAACACACTCCTCGATGTAGAAAAACTGCATCTTGACAAATAAAACACAAGTTAGCCCACAACCTTTTTGACAAAAAGGATTAATTAGCAGCTAAAAGTGTAAGATAAAGTGCCTAAACCAATCAATCCAACTACAGTGACACTTTGATCTGTATATATCATTTGATGTGGATTGGATATGAGGCATGCGACACAATTTGGCGCATTCTAATTGGATTCCTATTGTAGAAATGGCTATCAAAATACGTACGTCAAGTCTAGACCTTTGAGGATTACCATAATTTCGAACACTGGGATGGATTCATCAAGTAGCATGCACATGTATATCCTGATAGATAATCCCTTCAGTCTCCTTCTTTTGACTCGCGATATCGGGGTAGATTTTCTTCTTCAACATCTTTCTCATCAGCTTTTACATAAAACGTTTAAATGGCAGCAACCCACATTAGAAGTTTCAATAAATAGTACCAAAAGATAAAATTAAAGATCCATAACTCGAATCTATTTACATGAGAGAGAGAGAGAGAGAGAGAGAGAGAGAGAGGCTCACTCGTTTTGTTTTCTTGATCGGGTGAGTGGAATCATCTTTCTCGATCTTCTTCTTTTTTGAGATCAGGGTACTCTTGATGGATTCGGTACCTGTGCTAACATGGCAGGGGACATTGAAAGGATCACGTAACTTCCCCTTCAATAAGTTCTTCTCCGAATCACCCCAAAGCAAATCGGCAAGTGTTGTTCGCTCTCCACTATTCATAATCTTTTTCTCGGTGCATTCAGTATTCAAATTCGTAGGATCTTTAGCATCAACTTCTTCCTTATCATTATTAGGTTTAGCAACCTTATCACATGGTGGCGGATCTTGTTTCTGAACATGATGAAACCCATGTTTACAAGCTTTTAGCACCAATGGACATTCCATTTCCCCTTCCGGGTCCTCCTCATCGTTATCATGGCCAAACAACAACTGCTTGTCGGTGTACGCAACATCTTTCACCTGGAAAGTTTTGGAAAGATCAATCCCCAACGTACCAATGGCGAGTATACCTTCTTTCCAGCCATCATAAACCCCTGCTAACTCCTCATTCTCAAGCAATGATACCTTGTCATTTTCAGCCTTCTTGGCATCTTCATCTGCCACGCTTTTTT